ATTCTTTCAATTAAAAAGTCACCATGTGACACCTCATTTCATATTTATAAAAATACGGGTCTCAGTCTATTTTCATATTTTTCGTAAACGCGGATCTCAACCTATTTTCATATTTTCACGGCACCTAGTGCCCTTAATTAATTAAATCATCATATTTATCCGGCACCTCGTGCCCTCATTTCATCTCACAACTGCACGGATAATTCACGTACCAAATATCATTACCATTTCATCACAACACCTCGTGCCCACATTTCATATCACAACCGCATGGGCAATTCGCGTGCCCAATATCATCATTATTTACTCACGGCATCTCCTGCCCATATTTCAATTTATAGTCCGTCGGGCAATAGCCAAACATTCTCAATTTCAACATAAAACAGATTGTTATCAATTTACTATCAACAAGACCAATTAACAAGGCATACAAATAAACACAAGAAAAATCACAACATCACGTAAAAATCATCAACACCACAATCCCACATCATCACATATCGTCCGTGACAATAGTCACCCTTATCGCTCTTATTGCCACCCTTATCACTCCTATAGCCACACTTATCGCTCCGCCTAGACAATATCAATAGTCACCCTTATCGCTCCTATTGTCACCCTTATCGCTCCTATAGCCACCCTTATCGCTCCGCCAAGACAATATTCCAACAAACACAACAATAGTGAAATGCCACCCTTATACCCACACAATATCAACGGTGAAATGCCACCCTTATCTCCCTAAAATAATAACTCAAACAATACAATAATTTATACGGGAAATTAACACGACAATATAATAAAATCAATTCTTATCACAATTTGGCCAATGGCCACAACCAAATTCCAAAGCTATAACCAAGTCAATTAATTTCACACCAAATAGCTAAAAGCTCCACACAATGTGTACAACACCCAAATACAATCAATAGAGATAGAAATCACTCAACATAAAGCAAAGTCTTCATTAAAATCAAATTTTCAATAATTATATAAACCAACAAATTCACGGAATTACATAAATAATCAAGTAACAGTCACATCAAATTGTCATATAACAACAGATTCAACAACAACAAGGTTTTATGCACAGCAATTAGATGATTAAATATATACCAACAATTACCCAATTTACCACACAATATGCTCACGATTTTAACTCAATAAAATTTACACATATAAGCCGAGTACGTACTCGTCACCTCACGTACACGGCTTTTCACATTTCATAAATGGCACATAAGACTCGATACCTAAGGGGTAATTCCCCCACTCGAGGTTAAGCAAGACACTTACCTTATTGAAGTTATGCCGATATTCTAAAATCGCCTTCTTGCTTGAATTTGACCTTCGGACAGCTCAAATCTATCCAATTCAATTGTATAATTTCATTAAAATTCATTGGAAATAATTTCGGATAATAACACGTCGACTTAAAAATTTATTTCAAAAAGTCAACAAAAATCAACGCGGTACCGACCTCTCGGAACCCGACATAATTTTTACGAAATTCGAACACCCATTCCAATATGAGTTCAACCATACCAATTTTATTGAATTCCAATAACAATTCGACTTCCAAATCTTAAATTTTCGTTTTTGGAATATTTTTACAAAAATCTTTATTTCCTTCATTTAAATCCGAACTAAACGATGAATATATCATATATTCATGAAATATAATCACTTTAGGATATAGAACACTTATCCAAGTCAACGTCTTGAAGAACTCCTCCAAAATCCCCCAAAAATCGAGCTCCAAAATCTAAATCGAAAAATGGCGAAATGACCATTTTTGGTCCTTAACATTCTGCCCAGTTTCGCACCTGCGGACTAATTTTCGCACCTGCGTGCTCGCTTTTGCGAGCGAAATCTCGCTTCTCCGAAGGCCACTGCCCAGTCGACCATCGCATTTGCGGAAGCTTTTCCACTTCTGCGGGAATCAAACACTTCTGCGATGCCTCACGCGCACATGCGATGCCCCTTCGCTTCTGCGCCTTCTCTGCCCGTTTCTGCGCTTCCGCAGGTGCGGGATTTTCTTCGCACCTGTGACCACTGCCCAGGCCTTTTCCCTTTCGCTTCTGCGGCCTAAATTTCGCATTTGCGATGTCGCATCTGCGATCTATTTCATCGCAGATGCGATGAAACCAGTGGCAGATTTCCAACACACCTTCAAGTTCAATTTTGGTCTATTTAACCATCCGAAACTCGCCCGAGACCCCCGGGACCTCAACCAATTATACCAACATGTCCCAAAATACAAGACGAACTTAGTTGAGGCTTCAAACTACATCAAACAACGCCGAAATTACGAATCGCGCATCGAATCGCATTATAAGTTTTCAAATCTTTCAACTTCTATATTTTGCGCCGAAACGTATCAAATCAATCCGGAATGACTTCAAATATTGCACACAAGTCATAATTGACGTAAGGGAGCTATTCCCATTTCCGGAATCGAAATCCGACCTCGTTATCAAAATTTCACCCTTCGGTTGGACTTTTCCAAAAATCTTATATTTGTTTTCAACTTTCGCCAAAATATGTCGAATTGTCCTATGGACTTCGAAATCTAAATCCGAACATACGCCTAAGTCCGAAATCATCATACGAAGCTATTACCATCATCGCAATTCCATTCCGGGGTCGTTTGTTCAAAAGTCAACTCCCCGGTCAACTCTTTCCATTTAAGCTTCAAAATGAGAATTTTTCTTTAAATTAAATTTCGAATCTTCCGAAAATCAAATTCGACCACACACGCGGGTCATAATACATATTGCGAAACTTCTCGAGACCTTAAGTCACTGAACGGGGCGTAATTTCTTTAAACGACAAGTCGAGTCGTTACAGTGGTATAGCCGCCTTAGTGAATATTTATTAAAGGAATGTTTTATAAATGATTCCATTTGTCCATGTGTTTTTATAAAAAAAATAACAATATCGGAGTTTGTTGTACTTGCCGTATATGTTGATGACATAAACCTTATTGGAACTCCTACAGAACTCCAAAAGATAATTGATTATTTAAAAAAGAAATTCGAGATGAAAGATCTCGGAAAGACAAAATTATGTCTCAGTTTGCAAATTGAACATTTGGCAAACGAGATTTTTGTTCATCAATCTGCCTACATAGAAAAGGTATTGAAACAGTTTTACATGGATGGAGCACATCCATTAAGTACTCCGATGGTTGTTCGATCACTTGATGTGAATAAGGACCCGTTCCGACTTCAAGAAAAGAATGAAGAGCTTCTTGGTCCTGAAGTACCATATCTTAGTGCAATTGGTGCACTAATGTATCTTGCTAACACTACAAGGCCTGACATAACTTTTTCAGTTAATGTCTTAGCAAGATATAGCTCTGCTCTTACAATGAGACATTGGAATGGATTCAAACACATATTGCGGTACTTAAAAAGGACTACCGATATGGGCTTATTTAATGGCAATGATTGCAGTCCCGATCTTGTTGGTTATACCGATGTTGGGTATTTATCTGACCCACACAAGACTCGATATCAAACAGGCTATGTGGTTACATGTGGAGGCACTACAATATCTTGGCGATCGACTAAGCAATCAATCGTGGCTACTTCATCTAATCATGCTGAGATAATTGTTGTTCATGAAACAAGTCGAAAATGTATATGGTTGAGGTCTGCAATACACCTTATTCGAGACAAATATGGTTTGAAGTGTGACAAACTACCCATAATTTTGTATGAAGACAATGTAGCATGCATAGCTCAATTGAAGGGAGGATTCATAAAAGGAGATAGAACAAAGCACATTTCACCAAAGTTATTTTTCACACATGATCTTTAAAAGAATTGTGATATCAGTGTGCAACAGATCCGTTCAAGTGATAATATGGATGATTTGTTCCCCAAATCTCTACCGACGTCAACCTTCAAGAAACTAGTATACAAGATTGGGATGCGAAGGCTCAATGATGTAAATTGATGCTCTCATCACGGGGAGTTAATACGCGGTGTACTCTTTTTTCCTTACAAGGTTTTGTCCCACTGGATTTTCCTTGCAAGGTTTTTAATGAGGCAACCAAAAAGCGTATTTCTAAACATGTGTACTCTTTTTCCTTCACTATGATTTTTTTTCTAATAAGGTTTTAACGAGGCACATTATCTATGGACATCCAAGAGGGAGTGTTATACGAAATATTAAATTATGGTGAATGTCTACTCTTCCTCCATGATATTCATCTCAAATGTTTAATGACATATTTTCTATGTTTAATGACATATTCAATGACATATTTTCTTCACTTAATGACATATTCAATGACATATTTTCTTCACTTTTTATGCCTATATAAAGGCTTTGTAATAGATAGGAACATACACACAATTGAAGATGAAATAAGAATATCTTTTCTCTTTCTCTATATATCTCTTAGCTTGTTTTTTCTTGTTCCATATTGTTATTTTGAGTTATATTTTATAACACTTTTTTATTAGTCAAAAAAAAGGGAAGAAAGGTTTGTCATGTCAAGGAACTCAATTAATGAGCCAATACCAATACATTTCCATTGAGAATCTATAATATTGCCTCCGGTCCATTTTAGTAGGCGTTTGGACATAAGAATTGTAAAATTCCAATATATGGGGAAAAAAAATTCAAGTGAAAATGATATTTGGAATTTAGAGTTGTGTTTGGACATGAATATAATTTTGCGTTATTTTTGAAGTTTTGAGGGTGATTTGAGTAAAAATTTTGAAAAATAACTTTTTGGAGTTTTACAAATTTTCGAAAATTTCCAAAATGATCTTAAATAAAAATTGAAAATTTTATGAACAAACGCTTATTTCGGAAAAAAAGTGAATTTTTTTGGGAAAAAGGAAAAATTTTCTTATGTCCAAACGGACTCTTAGTTGATTTTTTTGACTGTTTTTAATGAATCCATCTTTTAGCATTGATTAACATGATTATATTAACCTTAATTTGTTCATTGAAAATATAACAAATACTTCTACGCTCTTTACTTCAAGGAAGGAGAGATTATTAGAAACGAGAACTGAGTCAAATGCTTGCTAATATACAATACATCCTACTTCAAACTGTCTTACATTATCAGCTCTGCAGTAATTGCAGTGCACTAAATTGAATAAATAAGTTATTGAGGTGCTAAACTATTCTCCTGCTTGTCGACAGCACAACCTTGAGGAAGAACTGTCCCACCAATTCTTGTTGGAGGCCAATACCGAAATATTGATCTGCCTATTATGTTCTTTGCAGGTAGCGGTCCCCTGTTTTAAATAAGATTGATAAATTAAGATGACTCATGTTTAATGAATCTAAGCAGTTTACGAGCGGACAACTCACCACACATGTGAATCATAGCTGTTATTCCGATTATCACCCATCACAAAAACTGAATTCTCAGGTACACGCTGCAGTACGACATGAATAAAAAACAGTAAGAACAGTAGGCGGTTCTTCTCGCGCTAAATGGAAATTAAACAACACACTTTGGCCAAAAAACTTTGATGGTTTTAGGCTTTTAGTATTAGTCAAATCTTCAATGAGCCAATACTTTTGCATGTTCAATAATTCATAAGGAGAAGAATGGGAGGGAAGCTGATTGCTGAGTTAGCTGAATTGGTAGAACATACCACTGGTGTCATTTCGTATTTGGGTGCCTCGAGAAGAAAATCTTCATTTCTCACAACCCCATTTACAATCAGCTTTCCTTCATGAACCTGCACTACCAAGAATAACCAAAATATTTCCTTTATATTACTGGCACAAGTGGGGTCTGGGGAGGGTGGGATGTACGCAACCTCACCCCTACCCTGGAAAGGGGGAGAGAGAGGATGTTTCCGATAGACTTGGCCTGAAGAAAAGATAAGAAGGAGCAGTGGCAACAAGTAATGACAACTCCCCTCAAACATTCCTTTTCCATAATAAACCAAAAGGAAACACAACTGATAGGCTAACTAGTACTAAATCTTTTACTCCCTCAAATTGAATCTCGAGTTTTGATTTGACAAAATCATTAAGAAGAAAGTGACAAGGTGAATAATTAAATGGGAAAGTAGGTTTTAAATTCTGAGTTATCTTTTGGTTGCTTAAGAAGGAAAAAAGAAAAGTTACATTGGAAAGTCTAAAAGAGGATTCTATATAGTTTCTTCTTTAAAGTACTCCTATTAATAGACTTTTCCATTGCAGTGAAGTAGACACTATCTGAGGTTGAGACAAGAAAAGAGAGGTGGACTTCGAAGTTGTGATTGAAATGGACAGGAGTAATAAGACACCAAAACCGCCGGGTTTACCCAGAAGTTCGAATTCTATGGTAGAGAACGCTGTAATAATAATTGGTCCATGAGACTCTTTTATGTATTGCAAAAGAACCTTGTTGGGGGTCAAAAGTGAATATCAATTTATATGCAAATTCACCAGGAATTCTCCTAAAAGAGCAAAGACTGGAATTCAGTTGCTTCTATATCCATTTAGGAGGGAAAACAAACTCAATGCAGCGGAACTAGTGGTGGCTATGAAATGCCAAGTGATCAATCATAATTAACCAGTTCAAGTTCACAGCAACTGAAAAATAGTATTTTCTGCTTCTATTATCTAGTGAACTCACCTCTACAATATCACCTTCCTTTGCAATAATCCTCTTAATAAAGACATTGTCATCTGTGTATCCTACTTCCTGAAGGACTGGAGGACTTTTGAATATTACTATGTCGTTGGGACAGGGCTTTCTGAAATAGTAACTGACCTGTAAGTCACAAGATCAACATAGTTACAAACAACAATGCTTTGAAATAATTGATCCGCCTTATTTTTCTAAATAATACACATGGAGCGAACACCATAGCACAAATAATAATAGAAAGGATTTCAGATGCAATTTGCAGGTAGCCATCTAAAACTATTCTGACACCTAGTAAAAGGTATTTTGATGCATTTACAACTGAAATAATAGCAAACTGACCGCTAACCACTACTATAAGTTTTACAATCCTAAAATTAAATTTAAAGTCAAACTACTCCACGTTTCAATGTTTATACTTACTGATACTGACATTTTTATTTCAAATGCAACATTAAGGCTCTCAGGAGGGAGCAACAACAAAAGCATAAATTCCGCAACCCCCTATATTTCAATTTGTCTCCAACATGAAACTTACCTAAAACAACTGTCAACAGTCAAATCAGAAAGAAATATTCAGCAAACAATGTTTCCAACCCAAGGGTGTGGCTTAATTGTCAGTGAAGTGCTGCAAACCTTGGAAACCAGAGGCGGATCCAGGATTTAAACTCTATGGGTTCAACTATAAATTTTTTAACATTGGACCCCTTATATTTTTAAAGTTATGGGTTCATGTCTATTATTTTTACAATTTTAATGACCTTTTACACGTAAATATTTACTCCGCGTCGAAAGTTATGGGTTCAATTGAACCCGTAAATACCACACTGCATCCGCCCATGTTGGAAACCAGGTTCAAATGACTGCAGAGACAAAAAAATACTAGGTGATTTCTTTCCATCTGCCTAACCTTAACCTGCAAAGTTAACCGATACTTGCAATTTGGGAGGTAGCAGGTGCCTAGTGAATATTCGAGGCGAGCACATGTTGCCCGAACACCATAGTTAATTTTAAAAAAAAGTGACCAACTTTATTAACACCCTTTATATACAGAGGCGGATCTAGAATATCTACAACATGAGTGCACCACTAAAAAGGAGAAAAAATGTATTAAGTGAAAATTAATCCTTATTCCTTTACATAAATAACTCAGCATTCAATCATGTCCTAAGCCGAGGGTCTTTCGGAAATAACCTTTCTGCCTTCTTGAAGGTAGGGGTAAGGTCTGCGTAAATACTACCCTCCCCAGAAACCACTTGTGGGATTACACTGGGCATGTTGTTGTTGCCAACCAAGTGCACCAATTAACCTTTTGGAGCATAGGGCCAGCAGATAATATCATATCAATTTAAAAAAATATGTATACCTACTTTGGCAGAAAGACCACGGGTCCACATGACCCATATATTGGGCAGTAAATCCGCCCCTGCTTATATACCCATTATACCTCAATCCCAAACTACTTGGGATTAGCTTATATGATTCATCTATATCCATTTAGATGACTCATCATAGCTGTACTGTTTTTACACTAGCATCCAACCTAGCTTAACCTTCCTCCTTTTATCCAGACTTAAAGATCAACTAAACTTGCAAAATTCAACTTCATCAACAACAAAAGGAATAAATTCACAAACATATACAACAATTATTACGTCTCAGCCCCAAACAAGTTTGGGTCGGAAAATTAACAAACATATAGTAGTAAATAAAAAACAACAAAATTACCTTTTCAGCTACAATTCTATCTCCAATATCAAACGTGGGATACATGGACAAAGAAGGTATAAACCTTGGCTCAGCAACAAAGGACCTAAATGCAAGTGATACAGCCACAGCTAAAAAGACCGTTTTTACATCATCTGGACTAAAATTCAGCCATTCTGGCAAAACCCCATTTTGCTCATCATCTCCACCACCACCTCCACCGCCGTCGCCACCACTGCCGCCGCGGTCCAAAACTGCCTTTGTAGTCTCTTCATTTGAGTCTTTCTTGACCCCTTTACATATAAAGCTCTGATTTTGAGCTTTGTTACATCTAAATTGCTTTAAAGTTAGAATCTTGGGAGTTTTTATGAAAAAATTGAAATGGGTGTCATTGAATTGGAAGGTTTTGGATAATGGGTTGAATTTAGAAAGTGGGAAATTTGGGTTCTTTGAGGTCAAGTTAGGGTTTTGAAGAGAAGGGAATTGAGGGAAAAGCTGAAGAGTTATCATTTTAGGATTTTGAGTGTACCTTTTATCTGAAACAGTTGAGAGTTCTGTTCCAGTATGTGTGTTAGAAATTGAATTGGCAGTTAATTACGTTTGCCATTTCAGTTATATTCACTTTATATTTCTCTGTCTTTTTTCTCCTTTTTTTCATGTTCCTTTTTTCTCTCTTTTTTAAAAAAGAGACATTTCAAGATTGCATGATTCAATTATTGATCGCGAAAATTTATACACTAAAATTGAGTAGATTGCTCGTATAGTTCTCAAGCCACGATTCTGCTATTTGCTAGAATAATCTAGAAAAAATATAGGATAAATTTTTCTCATAGTTAAAAATAGAATAAATAAATACGATTTTCAATACTTTACTTATGGATTCTAATTAGATTAGATTTTGATAGGAACTTTCTAAAAGGAACCAAATTGGATCTCAAAATGGTTTAAACAAATTAAGGATTGAGGGGAGCTTGTGTAATATATTCCTAATCTTCAACTATTTTGGAGAGAGAGAGGTTCAATTGAAAATTGTGGTGTACATGTTTTTAGCACTTAAAGTCCCTTTTTAGGTTAACAATTTATCATGTTACGACAAATTAATTGTAAATTATTCCAGTTTTTAAGTAACTTATCATAAAGAGTTGCGGTGGAATAGATATGATTTCTCCACCTTAATCAAGATTTAAGTTTCGAACCCTTAGAATAGCAAAAATGCTGGTAGGAGACTTTCTCTTAATGGGTTTACGCGTCAAGAATTCAGAATAATTGGGCTTAATATATGTACCAAACAACGATTGGAAAAAATATAACTAAAGTAACTTTATATTGCAAAGATGTTTACACTATGTGCAAAAAAAGTGGTTTACTTCAACAGACTTATGACTCATCAGCTAGATCAAATTACCAGACAAGAAGTGATTTTCTAGATCCAATAGGATGTCATGGTTGAGATGCAATTCCATAGCTATTATAAAGATGAACCAACATCTTCAGCGCAGAAATGACATTAAGTAGCCGCTCTAAAGGCTGCTATTTAGAAATTAGTCAGTGTGTCCTGAATTTTAATTTTTCAGTTTAATTTTTTAGGACAAAAGTGTCCTGAATTGTCTTGAAATTAAGATTTTTTAGTTTAATATTTCAGGACAAAATAAGTACTGGCCAATCTCTTTACTGCATCCTTGAAAATGACTATTTGTGCACTTGCTCTTCGGCTTACTCCTTTCTATTGTTTTTCATGGGCCATAGCATGGTCCATTTTACCAGAAGCCTTACTTAAGAGGTAGAAATAGCTTTTACTAGCCACTTTTTTGCCATGTCTTTGAAAAATAGCTAATGTTCTGAAGGTTTAAATTTCCCTAGTGAAACTTCAAGACATTATCATAGAGGTTGCTTGTTAAATTTGAAAGTCCGGGACATTGATTATTTTCCAATTACAAGACCTGAAAAGTGGCTATTTCTGTGTTTTTCCCCAACGGCAACATGAGTCTTGCCCATAAGGACAAACCATGTTGTTCATACTCGGCCCAAAAGGTTGCCTGGAATAGGCTAATATTCGGCCTAGAGGTGGCAAAAAAGTAAAAAGAAAACAGTTATTCACCCTATTATCCATTAAAAAATGGGTTGGATAATGAACTTTTTAAAAACGGGTCGAATATGGATAAGAACCATATTATCCACTTAGAAAATGATTAACCAATGAATAACTAATGTGTTAAACTTTTATATTTGTAAAACCTCAAATTGGGGATTCCTCAAGTTTGGGAGACTAGGAATTCTCCTATAAGTGATCATATTGATGACCCATTTTTTATTCGTCTCGAATACGGGTCGAGTCGGATAATTTATCCGTTTTCGACCCGCTCACATCTGACCTGACCCGACCTGCCCATTTCTACCTTAATTCGGCCCAAAAGGTTGCCGGAAATAGGATATTGGGCAAATGTTGTTGTGGAAATGACATCAAGTAGCCACTTTTAAGTTTGTTATTTAAAATATATCTACAGTTTACAATGTATTTAAAGATTAGCCAGTTCGTTCAAACTTCAGGATACGGTGTCATGAAGTTTGTTCAAATTTCAGGACATCGTGTCCTAAATTTCGAAAATCGTGTCCAGAAATTCGATTTTTATCCTGAATTTTAAATTAACAGTTCAGAAATTCAGGACACTTAATGCTGAATTTAGGACACTAAGTCTTGAATTTCAAATTAGCAGCTAAAATTCAGGATACTTAGTCCTAAATTTTGCGCGAATTAACCAATCTTTAAATACATTATAAATTGTGGATATATTTTAAATAACAGGTTTAAAAGTGGCTACTAGTGCACTTCGCCCAATGTTGTTTTGTTACCGGTGCTTTATAAATTGTTTCGGCACAAAATAAGAAACAATCTCTCCAACGCATAAATGGTTGTACATTCACGTTCTCATAATCTTTAGTAAAATCGTGATGACCCAAAATATCATCTTTAAATTTAATAAGTAATTCCATGTTCTAAGACCTCAAAAAGCACCACTTATCATTTCTCGACTTACGTGCGCAGTCCGTACAATTTTTCGGAAAGTTTTTATGTGAAAAATGGATTAAAATGTGAAATAGAGCTTTAAAACTCAACTAAGTTGACTTTGATCAACATTTTGAGCAAACGGACTAGGATCAGTATTTTGATAATTTCGGTAGGTCCGTATCGTGATTTGGGACTTGGGCGTATGCCCGAAATCGAATTCCGAGGTTCCTAGCCCCGAGATATGGAATTTTGATGAAAATTTAAAAGCTTGAAAGCTTAATGATTTCTAAGAAATTATTGGTGTTGAATTTATTGACTTCGGGTCCGTATTTTGGTTCTGGAGCCCGGTATAGGTTCAATATAATATTTATGACTTGTCTGCTGAATTTGGTGGGAATCGGAGTTGATTTGACGTGATTCGGATGTCCGGTTGTAAAAATATAAGTTTTAAAGTTTTCTTGAAAACTTCCTTTGATTTGGTGTCCGATTCATAGTTCTAGGTGTTATATTGGCGATTTAATTACGTGAGCAAGTTCGTATGATATTTTAGGACTTGTGTGCATGTTTGTTTTGGAGCCCCGAGAGCTCGAGTGAGTTTCGGATAGGCTGCGGGATGTTTTGGACTTTGAAAATCTGATATTTTACTGCAGCAGGTGTTCTGGCATGTTCTTCTTCGCATTCGCGAAGGTACTCTCGCGAACGCGAAGAGTAAACTGGGCAGCTGAAGTTTTCTTCTTCGCGAACGCGAAGCGATGGGGACATTACCCTTCGCGAATGCGACAAGCTCCTCGCGAACGCATAGTGTTAGGCACATATGGGGGACGGTTGATCATTCCTTCATCGCGAACGCGAGCAATACCTCGCGAACGCGAAGGTCAGAGGGGGAAAGCCTTCCCTTCGCGAACGCGAAGAAGGCCTGACCCCTGTGACTTAAAACAGAACCAAAACGGAATTTTTTCCATTTTTCACAAACCTTCAATTATAACTCGGCTTAGGGGCGATTTCAAAAGAGATTTTCACGATTTCGAATTGGGTAAGTATTCTTTATCATATAGTGATTGTATTTCATAAATCTAAGCCTATATTCATCATTTATTTCGGATTTAGATGGAAGAAATTGGAATTTTTGTAAAACTTTCCAAAAACGAAGAATTAAGATTTGAAGGTCCATTTGATATCGGAATTGGACAAATTTTGTATGGTTGAACTCGTATCGGAACGGGTGTTCGAATTTCGTGAGTTTTTTTCGGTATTTGAGACGTGGGTCCCACTGCCGAATATTTTAATAAATTTTAAATTTTTATCCGGAAAATTTATAAATTCATATGGAATTACTTTCTATGATTCGTATTGAATATATCGAATTATTTGTGAATATATTTGAAGCTTTCAGAGGTAAATTTAAAAGAAAAAGCCGTGGTTGAATAATTGATTGGAATTTACAAAGTGAGGTAAGTGTTAGGGTTAACTTTGACTTGAGGGAATAAAGCCCTTAAATTATTTGTTATGTGAAATGCATATGAACGATGTATAGGCGAGGTGACGAGTGTCTATACGTTGTCAAATTAATTATTTGCCTGCTTACTTGAAAAATCATAAATTATTTTTAATCATAAAATAATTATTATAATAATTATTTCTCTCTTATTCTTTGTCAAATATTAATTCTTGAATTCCTGCATTAATTGTTACATGCTATTTGAATTATGTGTTTTAATTGTTATTTGACATTTAGCATATTTAATATTAAACTGCCTATTTTCTCCCTGATTTCTATAATAATTTGTTATTTGTCATTATTTGTTTCATAATTAAATCATAATTATTGTATACTTGTTGTCTTATAATTTTACATTAATTGTTGTATTTATTGGGAAAATTTCTTCTATAAGAATTGATTGAAATGGAAATATTGGAGGATCAGGTTGCACGTCGTAACAGACTTATTAAAAGTCAATATTGGAGGATCGGATTGCACGCCGCAATAGACTTATTGAAAAGTCAATATTGGAGGATCGGATTGCACGCCGCAATAGACTTATTGAAAAGTTGATATTGGAGGATCGGGTTGCACGCCACAACAGACTTATTGAAAAGTCAATATTGGAGGATCGGGTTGCACGCCACAACAGACTTATTAAAAGTCAATATTGGG